AGCTCCTTGAGGCGTGCCATGGCCTGCAGCCGCAACTGCAGCTCCCGCCCGCTGGGCGTGCTGTGCTGCGCCATCGTGCGCAGCACTGCAGGGGGTGGGGCCAGGGGGGAGATTGAAGCGGGACGGGGCAAGGAGAGGTCAGCGCAGGCCTGCCGCTGGTGGGCAGGAGCTCGCTGGTGGTGGTGATGGGTTGGGAGGGTGGCTGCCGGGTGGTGGCAGATGGCTGCCAGCGAGCGCATGCCAGCCTGCAGCCCTCCAGCACACGCACAGCGTCAGAGCCAGCAGCGCAGCAGCGCAGCACCCACCTGTCTCCACTGAGGGCAGCACCTCCTGGCGCCAGCTGTGCTGCTGCTGGAAAGCGGCCAGCGACTCGCGGCACAGGTGGGCGAGGTACAGCGCGGCGGCGGCGGCGGCGGCCCCACCCTGCTCCGTCGCCGCGCCAGCCGCGGTAGCCGCGGCCACGGTGCCCTCGAAGGCGGGCAGGCCCTCTGCGGCGGGCCAAGGAGGTTGAGCCAGCGAGGTACCAGGCGACGAAGTGGGGAGGGAGCGAGCGACGCTGTGGGGGGCATGCCATGTGCACCTGTCCTGCTGGCAGCGGACAGCAGGCAGAGCAGCTAAGCGCGTGGCGCCTCCCCACCCACCGGCGTAGAGAAAGCCGTAGAGCTCGGGGCCGTGCTGTGCCTGGCCGCCACGCCAGTCGCCGGCGTTGGCCCGCCCCTGCCGCCCGCCGCCGCCGCCGCCGCCGCCCAGCACAGGCGAGGCACGGTACACCTCCACGGAGGACATGGGCGGCTGGTAGTAGCCGCCGTGCGACATAGGGGAGCGGGCCGTGCCCCGTGGGGCCCGGGGTTGGGCTGGGAGGCAGGGGCTAAGCTGGTAGCGTGTGTAGCCCGCCCGGACCGCCTGACATGGCATCCACACCGTGCGATTGCCGAGAACCGCGATGGTGTGCAGAGAGGCTCCATCTCCCCCGCCATGTCAGCAGCTGACTTGGAATTTCGTTATTGAGCGGCTTGCAGGGTGCTGCAGCGTGTCCATCGTGCCTGTCGGACCTCCGACCATCAATCAGCGATACTGCAGGCCCACCCGGAGGGCACAACCGAATTTGCAGCGTCTCCTGGCCGCTTGCCGGGGCCCATCTTGCGAACGGATGACCCTGTAGGGTACATGCAGCAATAATTTACGCTTTGCAATAATTTACGCTTTGGGACGTCTCGATACCTCGCAGGTCGCAAGGCCTGCTCCCCCGCCGCATTCCGACTGCTCTGCGCATGGGCAACGAGCAATCCTCCCCCAGGGCGAGTTGCAAAGATGGCTGGGAAGCCCGCTGCCCACCCAAGCTCCACCTCTCGCCCATTTGTGCTGCTGCCGCCGCCGCCGCGCTGCCTTGCAGCGCTGCCCTGCAGCTACGCTGCCTTGCAGCCACGCGCCCTGTGGCTGCAGTGCAGCGAATCGCCAGATGCTTACCTTGCAGCCACGTGCCTGCTGCTTTACCTTGATGTGAAGCCCGCTCTGGGTGCAGGAGGAACCAACGCTGGAGGAGCGCTGGCAATCGGCTCTGAAACAAGGAACGGCGGCAGAAGTGGAGCGCATGATACTGCAGTGGCGCGCAGAGGTCCCCCAGTTATCTTCCGGCGCTTACAGCGGCTCCTTTTGGAACCAAGCCCTTAAAGACGCGGTGTGGCACAACCACGACAATCCGGAGGTCGTCACGGGCCGTCCACGCGCTGGTGCGCGCTGGCGCCGATGTGAACAAGGCATTTGAAGAATGGAATGATGGCGTCATGGTGTGTCTGCACTTCAATCGGAGGGTTGCGCGCGCCCTGGTGGAGGAGGGCTTCCGGCTGGACCGGAAGGAGGGCTTCCATGCCTCGTACATTTTGCTGGATCTGCCGTGGGACGAGGACGGCCTTCGGCAACGTCTCGGCGAGGAGCTCCATGCGGCAGTGCAGCGCGACGACCGGACAGCGTTGCGTGCGCTGCTGGCGGCTGCCGACGGTGGCGACGCCGTGCGCGCCAGGAGCGACCGTGGCTGGACGCTGATGATGGAGGCGGCCGCCAGGGACCGCGCCGCCCTGGTGCACGAGCTGCTGCCCCACTTTGATCTGGAGGCCGTTGACGCGCAGGGCGCCACCGTGCATGCGCTGGCGGCGTGGAATGGCGCGGATGCTGCGCTGAGAGCGCTCGGCCCATACCGCGGCACGGTGGGCAGGGACGGCCGGTACACGGCATTGCACCAGGCAGCGTCCGCCGGCCGTGCCAGCACTGTGCATCTGCTGCTGGAGCAAGGCCCCGACGACGGCGGCAGCACCTGCTCCACCGGCGAGACGCCGCTGCATCGTGCAGCCGCCCAGGGGCACACTGCGGTAAGGTAAAGGTAAAGGTAAAGGTAAAGGGGCACACTGCGGTGCTGCAACTCCTGCTGCCCTCCGCCAGCGCCGCTGTCAACGCCCGCACCAATGCTGGTTGGACGCCGCTGTTCCTGGCGGCGCGTGCGGGCAGCGTAGAGGCGCTGGTGGCACTGCTGGATGGCGGGGCAGACCCGCTGGTGCCTGTGGGCCCCGCAGCGCATCGGCGGCTGTGCTGGGAGGCGCTGTGCCTCAGCGAAGGGGTGTCCACTGAGCAGCACGGCGCGGCCGCAGAGGCGCTGCTTCACTGCACGCTGCGCTGCGTGGCGCAGCAGGTGCTTGCGTGCCGCTGGAGGTGCTTCTGCCTGGGCCTCTGCCCTGCACTTGCACGAGGGCAGGCCGTGGCGAGGATGGACCGAGGGCAGCCTGCTGGGTGCCCTCACCCCGCTGCACCTGGTGGCGCTCTGCGGCGACGCGGCCAGCATACGGCAGGCGGTGGCAGCGCCTGGTGCCGCCGCCCTGCTCACCCAGCGCACCGGCGGCGTGCTGGGCGGCGCCAACCGGCTGACGGCGCTGGAGCTGGTCATTGATCTGTACAGCGGCCTGCCGGTGAGGTGGCGGCTGCATAAAGGAGGGTGGTGCTGCTGGCAGCGCTGAAAAGAAGGCGCGCCGCCAGGCAGGCAGGCTGGTGTGCGGGGTGGCTGGCAGATAGCCAGCAAAGCAGGCACCAAGGCGCTGGTGGTGCCGCCGGCTGAAGGTATCTCGGTTTGTGTATTGGCTTGGCCCCTCGTGGCTGCAGGTGTGCGAGCAGCTCATTGCTCCTCTTTTGGAGCAGGGAGCAGTGCAAGAGGCGCGGCGGCAGCCCACCCTCCGGACGCGGTGCCGGCCGCCGCGCCGCCCTCTCTCGCAAATGTGTATGCTGGCGCCACGGCGCTGACCATGGCTGTGGCGCGCCGGGACGCGGTGCTGGTTGCAGCACTGTTGGCCGCCGGCGCGCGCGCGCAGGAGCGTGGCGGCGCGGCACTGTGGCAGGCGGTGGCACCGCCGCTACTGCCCAGGTGCGGCATCGGGGCGGGTGGCATGCCGGGACGCTCTGCTCTGCCCCAGCTAGTGTGGCAACCACTTGGCATCTACCTTTGCCCAATGCCCTGAATAAGTTGATGTGAACAAATGCCGCGCTGTCTTGCTCACTCACGTGTTGCAGTTACGGCAGTGCCGCGCCGCTGGCAGAGATGCTCGTGAGCGATCGGTTGCGCGGCGGCGGCGCCATTGTCACGCCGCAGCTGCTGGCGGCAGGGGCCCTGGGGGCAGATACTGGGGTAGTCAGGCGCTTGGCGCAGCTGGGCTACGGTCCCAGCCGTGGCGAGGACCTGGCGGCTGCGGTGGCGCAGCTGGCGGCGGCGCTGCGGGCGCACGCTGACGGCTGCGGCGGCGGCGGTGGCGGCGGGGCTGCCAAAGACCGCTCAATGATGGATGCCTTGAAGAAGGTGGGGTAGCGCGTTGCCTGCTCTGCATCCCTAGGCTGTTGTTAGGGCCGCTCGGCTGTGGGGCGAGGCCGCTGGAAGGAATGCCGGCCCCTGCTCCCCGTGAACATTAAGCAGCGTTCTGTGCACCTCGCAGGTCACGACCAAGCAGTGCATGAAGCTGCCGGGCAGTGTGCTGTCCGACTTCCTGGCGAACGGCGTGGGCAGCGCTGTGCTGCAATTCATACAGGACCATCACGACAAGGTGCCTCACCTGGTGCTGTCGCTGATGGGGCAGTGCTTGACAGTGTGTATTATACCTCTCAGATCCTTCACCTACATTGTTTTTATCTTTCAGTTCTACGATCAGATCTCTGTCATCCCTTCCAGTTCCCTGTGCACATGTGCCTTGCAGCAAACACACAGCTTTGCCGCCCACCCCTCGCCGCTTGCGACTTGTGCACCGCAATTCATACCCATGGGCAAGTCACATGATAATGACATTGCATCAGCAATTTCTGCGTCCCAATTTCTGATGTCTTCATTGCAGACGCCGTTCAAAAATGCCCAGGGCCACCTGTGCAGGAGGCCAGCCTGAGGGTGTGCACATCTCCCGCCCGCCATGTCAGCATCAGCTCAAGCTTGCAGCAACTTGAGCTCGGAGAGTATTGCAGCGTTGTCTATCGTGCCTGTAAGACCTTCGACCATCAATCCGCGTTATTGCAGGCCCACCCGGAGGGCACAACCTAACTGGCAGCGTCTCCTGGCCGCTTGCCGGTGCCCATCCTGCGAACTGTTGACCCTGCCCGGCGCACGCAGCAATAATTTACGTGTTGGGTTGTCTGGTAGCGCAGGTGGCGGCCAACGCGGCATGAAGGGACGCGAGCTGAGAGGTGCGGTCGTTCCTGCTCGCCGTGGGCATTCCCCCCAGCGCTCGGGAACGGCTGCAGGGACGCGCGGGCTGTCTGCCACCCCCTGCGCTTTGCCTGCACCAGCTGGCGCTACCTGCCGCCGCCTGCTCCGAGCCGCGACAACGCCCAGCCCGGCCCACCCGGGCCCTGCTGAATGCAGGACCTTGCGCCGCGTTGCTGCCGCTCCTCACGGCGCTTCTTGCCACCTGCGTGGACCATGCACGGGCGCAAGACTGCGCGGCGCAGCTGCGGGCGGCCGCCGGGGCGGGTGCCACCACAGAATGGATTGACCCAGCCACTCCCGATGATGCCTGCACGGCACAGCTATGCACCGGGGACTATGCCGCCTGCAACGTGGACGGCCCGCCGCTGAGCACGCTGCAGGCACGCTGCCCGCCGCCGCCGCTCTGTCATGCCAGCGCACCTTGCCGCCGCCAGAGTCTGGCGCTGACGCCCACTCCCCGGCCCTCCCCATGCGCTTGCTCACACCCACACGTGTCGCATACCGCGCCGCCCTGCCTGCCTGCCCTGCCTGCCTGCCGCAGCTGGTATTCAGTGACGAGTTTGAAACTCCCGGCCAGGCCTTTGGCCCGGCGGCGGGCAACCCGCGCTGGACGGCGGAGCGTATGTGGTATTGGGTGACCGAGGACATTGAGGTGTACCTGCCTGAGCAGGTGCGGGCGGCAGGCGCTGGTGCAGGTGGCGGCGGGTGCGCGTGGCATGGCGCCGGCGCATGCGGCTCTGGGGGCTGGGCTGGGCTGGGCTGGGCTGGGCTGGGCTGGGCTGGGCTGGGCCGGCAGGGTCGTAACCTCCTGAGCTCAGTGGGCTGGGCTGGGCCTGACTGGGCTGGCAGAGCGGCAGCCTCCTGAGCTCAGCGTCGATCCGCGCGCGGCTGGCCCGTTGACCTGTCGGTGCGTGCCATTGGCAGGTCACCACAGAAGGCGGCGCCGCCGTCATAACGGTGGACAGGGTGGCGGCGGGGCAGCCCAACGCCACCGCGCTGGCGCAGCGCCCCGACGGCGCCGTGTGGAACGCCTCCTCGGCCTTCAAGTCGGGCTTTGTGGACAGCTGGAACAAGTTCTGGTGAGGCGGCTGGGTGGCAGCTGGTGGTGGCGGTGAGGAGGAGGAGTGTAGGCGCGAGAACCAGCACGGGCGGGGCCGGCAGCGGCCCTGTTGCCGCCAGCACGGTTTGGCTGCTCATGACGCATGCCACAAGCAAGGGCTGGTGCGGCCGGGCTGAGCCGCCGCCTGCCGCCGCTGCCGGTACCGCCCCGCAGCTTCACGGGTGGCTACCTGGAGGCGCGCCTGCAGCTGCCGGGGGACGAGGTGGTGTCTGGATTCTGGTGCGCTTTGCTGCTCCGCCCATCACACACACACATGCGCACACACCATGTGGAGCCCACCTTGCTTGCGTGCGTGCTTGCGTGCTTGGAGTGTGTGTGCTGCTTGACTGTGCGGCCCGCAGGCGGCTGGCTCCCTTGGGCCGCCCCGGCTGCCTCCAACTGTCGCCTGTACTGCGCCGTCCCGAGCCGTGCACGTGCTGCGTCCCCCACGCAGGCCCGCGCTGTGGCTGATGGGCAACCTGGGGCGGGCCGGGAGGGCCCAGTCCACCGCCGGCATGTGGCCCTTTACGTACGACACGTGCGGCGGCGGCGACGCGGGCCCCACCCAACAGGCCATCTCCGCCTGCCCAGACCCGCCCGGATTTGACCGCACCAAGTTCGGGCTGGTGCCGGGCCAGGGGCGCGGCGCCCCTGAGATTGACCTTGTGGAAGTGATGTGAGCCGTGGATAGAGGGAGGGGCAGGCAGGGGCGGGGTGTGGGGAGGCAGGGAGGGGTCCTGGCGGGCAAGGGAGGCGAAGCGCGGCTGTCCCCGGTCCCCGTCGGGTCGCTGAATGCATTCGCGTGCTCGCTCGCTGCATCCAGGCGGCCAGCCCCTGCTTGGCTCGCGGCATTGCGGCCCGCCCTGCGCTTCTGGCTGACCACCGCGCCTCTCCTGCCCGCCGCCCTGCCTTTCTCACTTGGGCCTGGCGGCCTGCAGGGTGGGCTCCAGCAGGAGGCTGAAGCCGGGCCAGCGCCCGCCCGACCCCAAGCCGGGGCAGCAAGTGTACCCTCACAACCTGCTGACGCTGCAGGCGTGTGGTGCTGCGTGTGATGGCGCCGCGCTGCTGGCGCCGCCGTCGCTGGCGCCGCCGCTGGTGCAGAGGATGTGGGCGTGCCTGCCTGCGCCGGCGCCTGCGCCGGCCCCACCCACGACGTGGCCGCGTGGCTGTTGCCGCGTATGCCTTTACCTCCCCTGCTTCCCCTATCTTGCTGCAGACCGCGCCGCCGCTTCCCAACGGCACCACATGGACGGATGAGGGCAAGCCGGGGCCAGGTGCATGCCCTCATCCACTGGTGTCTGTCCCCAGCCGGGAGGGCAGAGCACACTGTGTCCCTTGCTTTGCACAGCCCTGCTCATGACATCTCTATTCTAGCACTACTGCAGGGCAGTACCTTCCGCAGGACTTCCTTCCAGGTAAGAGCCTGTACCTTCCATCAAGCTGCCACTGCATGTGCATGCCGCCGCTGGTCTGGGTGCCTCTTGGCCTCCACTTTGGGACAGCACACTCCAGCACAGCACAGCGCCGCGCTTGCTGCCTGTTCGTCGCGCCCTTGGCCCCTGCCGGCCGCCGCTGCCACTACTTTCTACCCCCTGTCACTACTCCCGTCGCCGCTGCTGCTCGTTCAGAGGGCATGGTGACAGAGACGGCCTGGTGGAAGGGCCCCTTCACAGAAGCCAATGACAGCCAGCAGACGAGGTGGGAGGCCCCCGCTCCGGGCCTGACCATCGGCCGCTGCCCTGCTGCAGCCCTGCTGCTCTCTCGTGTGCCCGGCCCTCAACTCTCCCCACGCCGGTGGCGGCCACCCCCAGCCCCGCTGAACCTGGTACATAGTGTTCTCTGTCGCAGGCCGGGGAGCCTGTACCAGGATGCGGTGGGGGCCTACGCCTCGCTGGAGCCTTCATTCTGGACCGCCTACCACACCTTTGGCCTGGTGGGTGGCCTGGCTGGCCTGTGGCACGCCGCGTGCGCTGCGTCGCTGCCAGCAAGAGGCATGCCAAAGGCATCGCCGCTGCGCCGGTGGCACTTGCTTCGCTGCACCCCCGCTGGGAGCCCACACGCAGCCTCCATTCCCTGCGCGAACGCGTGAAACCCCCGGGCCACACACAACGTTTGCCCGCGTCGCTGGCCTGCCTGCCTGCCTGCAGGCACTGGGTGCCGGGGCAGTACATCCGATGGTACATCGACGGCACCCTGGTGTACGAGGTCGGCAGCGAGGCGCTGAGGGCGCAGACCAACAGCACCGGTGGGTGGGCAGGCAGCACTGGCAGGCAGGCGGGCGGTTCCATCCTCCCCTCGCCGTGCGCCATCACCACCGCAAGGCACAAACACTTTGTCTCACGCACCTGCATACACACGCCCACCGCCGCTGCCTGCAGGCTACACCACATATGAGCGCCTCGTGCCGCTGGAGCCCATGTGAGCACACAGCGACAGGAGCTGAAGGCAGCTTGTGTGTGTGTGTTTGGGGGGGGGGGGGGGGGGGGGGGGGGGTCGTTCTGCCGGCAGCTCTGCATTCTGCGCCGCGGACAGCCCGCTGTGCTGCTGGGCATGGCATGCCCACGCCTGCCCGCCTTGCCGCCACACGCTCCCCTACTCTTCTCCTCTGCCCCTGCCTGCCTCCCGGCCCCATGCGCTCATTCCTGCCCGCTTTCCTCCCCTTCCCCTGACTCTGCAGGTACATCATATTCAACCTGGCCATGTCCAGTGAGACTCAGCTTCTTTGGGCTGCCTGCCTCCCTCCTGGGCCGCCTGCTTTGTGTGCCTGCCCGCCGCCCGCTCTCCAGCTGCCATGCCTGTTTGCGCGCCTGTCGTTCCTGGCGGTGCCTGCCCTCGAGCTACCCCCCCCCTGCCCGCCAGACGGAGGAAGGGTGCATGGCGGCGGGGTGACCACAGCGCGCAGAGCGTGCGGAGCAGCGTGCCATGCCGCCCAATGATCCTCCTCACTTTCGTCTTCGTCGGTGTCGTCCTCTCTCCCCGTAGACTCGTTTGGGTACGTGGACCTGGAGAAGCTGGAGTTCCCGTCGCAGTACAAGGTACTGTGTGCAACCTCCGAGCGGTACTGCATCATGCAGTGCTGCACAGCAGCTTGTCAGCCACATGCAGTGTTTGGCCCCAGCCTCATCTCCCTCTCTCCTTTGCCCCCGGCATCCCGTAGCCGCACGCCCATCCCCACGCACCTCTCCCTGCATCCCCACACCCCCACACACACTCAGGTCGACTACATCCGCGTGTTCCAGAACGCCTCGGCCGTCAACCTGGGCTGCAGCCCCAAGGACTTCCCCACCCAGCAGTACCTGGCCTGGTGAGGCTGCGGCCTGGGCCGCCGCCGCCGTTCGGCGTGGCCCAGCGCCACCGCCCCTCGATGCCTGCTGCTGGTGCCTCCTCGCCTGGGCCTGCCTTGCGCTACCGCATGCTGCCTGCTGCCGCCGCCTGCCTGCCTACCTGCCTGCCCTCCTGCCTGCCTGCCCCTTTCGAAGCAACCCCCTTCCCATCCTGGCCCTGCTCCCCGCAGCAACCGCGACAAGTATTTGCTGACAGAGGAGGACCAGGGGCTGGTGCAGGGGGCCTGCCTGCAGGCGCCCTCCTGCCGCCAGGAGGCCAACGTGAACTTCGAGGTGGGTTCCGCTGAATGCTCCTGCTCTTGCTCCTGCCTGCCGCCGCTCCCTGCTGCCGCTCTGTCTCCCGCGCTCAGCAATGCTCCAGAGCTAGACGTTGAATGTGGGGAAGCTAGGCCTGTGGACGTCCTTCAGGCACCTGCAGCTTTCCTTTTACCCGCGGCTCCCTGCTGCCGCTCCCTGCTGCACCCGCTGGCGCACGCCTGCCACCCTTGCCGCCGCATGCTCCCAAGCGGGCCTTGCTTCTGCTGCCTGGATTCAGGGCGGGGACATCCCGTCAGGCGACGGCCAGACGTTTGTGCAGCCGCGGCAGCTGGGCAGCGCACGGGAGTGCTGCCAGGCGTGCCAGGCCATGCCCGCCTGCGGCGCATACGTCTACTCTACATCGCAGCAGACCTGCTTCTTTAAGGTGGGGTGGGGCTGCCGCCTGGGAAGCTGGTGGCGTGTTGGTGGGAGGCAGCACCCCACACAGACAGCCTCCAGCAGGATTTGGTAGCGGGAGGCCGGTGGCGAGAGGTGCTCCGCTCCGCTCAGCTCCCCGGCTTGTTGCTGGGGTGCTCAGTGGTGACCAAAGGTCCTGAATCTGGCTGGCTTTGGCGCAGGCGCCCACGGGGTGGACCAAGGCGCCCGTTGCCGACCAGCAGTGGGGGGCGCTGGCGGGGGTGGTGTACGACGCGGGAGAAAGCTGGCCACGCGGCACAGAGGGCAGCGGCGGGCCCCCACCCCCGGCGCCCGACGGCAGCCCTTCGGCGCCCCCACAGCCTCCCAGCGGTGGCAGCGGCGTGCCGCCGCCGGCCCCCGACGGCGACGGCGCTGCGCCGCCCCCACGCCCGTCCAGTGGCAGCAGCGCCATGCCACCGCCGCCGGACACTGACGAAGCCAGCCCGGCGCCGCCCCCTGCGCCCTCCAGCGGCGGCGCTCGGTCGGGTGGGGTGGGAGGAGTCTGCGGCCTGGTGGCGATAGCGCTGGCAGCCCTGCCGGGCGTGCTGCTGGCATCCTAGCCGGATGATGCAACCACTCCCTGGCTGTGAAGACCATCCCTGGGTGAGGACAAAGGCAAGTGCTCCGCGGCGAGTTGGCGTACCATGCTGGCGGGGAGCGTAGGGCGACTGCCAGCTCCAACCTCTGCCCCGTTCAGTACATGCCGCTCTTTTGTACTCCTGCTTCATTGCCCCCAAGCAACCCCGTTCCGGCCATGTCAGGTCAATCATCGCTTGCAACTCGCTTTACAGGGCCCGCCCAGGCCGGCAGCCAGATGCGCCGCTCCGCACACCAGCGATTGCGCCAGCACACCCGCTGCTGCTGCTGCTGCTGCTGCGTTGACCAGGCTGCTGCTAAGACTGCGCGCCGGCGGGCAGGCCGTGCTTCTCTATATAGGCATCTATCTCCTCGGGGCTGAGCCCCTCAAAGGGGTCCGCCTCGCTAGCGCCACCGGTCACCTTCTTGCAGAACTCCTCGATTTCCTGCCGTGGAGGAGCGGAAGGGGCACCATGCCATGGTGCAGGCCTAGGGAATCGCACATGCCAAAGAAAGAAAGGAAGGAACGGGCGGCACGCTCACCTCTGGCGACATGTTCCCAAAGGGGTCGTCATCGCCCCACCGCACCAGGATGCTCTTCCCCGCCAGCACCATGCGCGCCGCCTCCAGCCGCTTCTCCTCGAGCACCCGCTTGCGCTCCTCCTCCGCCTGTGGGGTGGGAGCAGCAGGGGAGGAGCGCCATGGGCTAGGCAGGGGCTGGTCCGGGCGAGGGAGCCAGGCGGCGTGGACGAGGCAGGCAGCAGCGACGCCATCCGGTAGCAGGCAAGGCACCTCAGGGTATGCACACACACACACACGCACACACACAGCCCTCCTGCATGTCTCCCAAGCCGAGCCATGGCAACCACTGGACCATGAGCAGCTGCAGGCCGGGCAGCGCCGCCGCTCACCGGGTCTGGCCCCTTCTCCCACTCGAGGCGGTTGAAGAGGATGAGGGAGATGCCCACCACAAACACGCCCCAGTACACCTTCTCCCACCACCGCAGCGCGCCGCCCTGCAGCTGGCGGCGCTCCCAGGGGAACATCCAGGGCGCGCCTGCGGGCGGGCAAAGGTGGAGGCGGGTGGGGCGGGCGGGATAAGCTGGGTTTGTGCAGCATTGATGGACCAAGGGAAGGCAGGCGTGGCAGCAACCGGCCATGCTGCTGGCAGCGAACGAGCCGCTGCCAGGGTCCTGCGGTGGGCATCCCCGCTCCAGACGCACCGACTTGCACTTGCTTTGCCGCCTCTGCTGCTGCCGCCGCGTCTGCTGGCGGCTTGCCGCCGGCCGCCTCGCCGGCTGCTGCCGCGCTGGGCAGCGACCTCCTGGCCGGGTGCCGAGCTCTAGATGCGGCTTGCAGCAGGTCATCGGGTAGGGTTGAGTAGGCTGGCCGCTGCAGGCCGGCGCCAGCCCGGCGCAGCAGCTCCTGCCCGTGTTGCAATAGCCTTCTGCATGCCATAGCTGGATGCTTCCCCAGGCCAGCGGAGGTCGAGCTAGGAGGCTGGGAGAGCGATTGGCACCAGCAGGTTGGCGGCTAGGCGCCAATCGGGTTGCTCAATCCTGCAGTGGTGATAGTGAATGATGACGATCGAATGCAATGGACGCATGGGAGGGAGAGCGCCGTCCAGGTTGGCTCTACCTGGCCAACTCCGAGATTCTCGGCTCCACGGCTCGCCATACTGTCGTTGGACCACTGCCTTCGTGATCAGGCGAACTGGCCGCTTAAGCCCTCTTGCTGGGACCATCGATTGAAGTGCAGCCCGGAAGGCACGCTTCCCGGGGACCTGTGAACACCCTGTTGCGCTCAGAGTTTGGGGCTCAACCACCCTGAAGGCGCAGCTATGTCGGCAGCTCAAGACAGCCTCTTGCTGGGCACCGGCCTGCTGCCTTCGGGCCTGCAGCCAGCCCCAACAGCGGCCACGCAGAATCATGTGCCGGCGGCCCATGGTGTGCACCACTGGCCTGCCGCTGCGGCGGGTATGCACCCCGCGCTGCTGGCGGGGCCCGCCCACCTCCAGCTGCTGCCGCAACAAGGCGCCAACCCAGCCGGCTTCTATGCCGTCCCAGGCAGCCAGCCAGCCATTTACTCCCAGGCTGCGGCAGTACCAGATAGCACCAGATACGGCGCCGCTTATGCCGCCGGCCCAGTTCACCCCGCAGCAGCGTATCATGCGGCGGCGCAGCAGCAGGCGGGCGCCAGCGGGGGCCTGCTGCACGTCAACCCCAAGCAGCTGGCCTGCATCCTGCGGCGGCGCAGCAAGCGGCAGAAGCAGGAGGCCGAGAACAAACTGCCCCGCGTGCGCCAGGTGAGTTGCACTGGGAGGGACACCGTGCCCGCCTGCTGCTGCAGCACACAGGGCTCAGGTACCGGCCTGATGCCTTTCCCCGCAAACTGGAGCACCACAGCAGGCACACGTGCATGAGTGGCAGTCAGCATGTGGCTTGCGGTGCCAGCGCCCTCGCACACTCGCCGCCTCATCCCTGCCACCACACCCACCCGCCCCTTGCCACGCCACCCTGCTCCGCAGCCCTACATCAACAAGAAGCTACACACCCACGCCACAGGCCGGCTGCGCGGCAGCCACGGAAAGTTTCTCAGGTCAGTTCCGGCGCCGGGGTGCGAGGCGAGGCAGCGAGGCGTGTGCGGCGGCGGGAGGGCCGCCGCTCTTTTGCTGCCTTGTCTGCTTTGCTGGCGCCAGCTCAGCTGCCGAGCCAGTCTCTGCTTGCTACCTCCGACTACCCACCGGCTGCTGCTGCGCGCCCTGCCCTGCAGCAACGCCGAGGCGGCGGAGCAGGAGCGGCGCCGGGCAGCAGAGCCCGCCGACCGAGCAGACACCTGCCTGGGGCGGCAGCCCGAGCACGAGGAGGAGGGACAAGAGGAGCCGCTGGAGCAGCAGGAGGAGGGCCTAGATGAGCAGGAGCAGCAGGAGCAGGAGGAGGAGGAGGGCGAAGGCCTAGAGGAGGAGGGTGGCTCGGAGGATGAGCCGCAAGAGGCGTCGCCGGCAGAGGCACGAGCGCAGCAGCAGCAGCAGCAGCAGCATGACCCAGCAGACCGCAGCTAGCTAACTCTGGGCAGCCGCCGGCATAGGTGCATGCCTGGTGCTTCTGCCGCTTCTGAATGCGCCACTCACACAACTGGCCGCGCTGCTGGCCACCTTGAATAGCCGATTAACGTGTAAAAGAGTTTAGATCATTCAGTCACATTGGAATTGCAGTCAGGTGGGGTGAACCAGACAGGCGAAGCGGGAGGGAGAGAGCATGGAGAGGAGCAGCAACACATTGAAGCAGGGAAAGTCAGCGCAGTGGGTGCTGGGATGTAGGTGCAGCCTGGACTGGTCACTCCAGCGGCCGTGCCCGCAGAATCTTTACTTCCGACAGAGGCCGATCGGTCTTGTCAGTCTGCAAGAGCGACAGGGGCACGGAAGGCATGCGGGCGGCAGCAGGAGCGTGAGGGTACCCGCCAGCAGCACGCATAGAAGCAGCAGCAGGCAATCCTGGACAGGTGGCGGGCGCTGCCAGGCAGTTTATCCCCAGGCACAATAACACACGCAGGCGCAACCATGTTCCCAGGACAAGCCACCTACAGCAGCAGCTTCCCACCTGCACGTTGTCTAGCCGCTTGATGACGTCCATGCCGCCGCACACCCTGCCAAAGATGGTGTGCTTGCCGTCCAGCCCTGCACAGGCAGCGGCAGCGGCAGCCGTGCAGGCGTCGCTCAACACCCCGGCAACATCAGGGGAGCAGAAGGGTGTGGGCCGCAGAGCTGCCATGCGCCAGCTCCCCCGCGCGCTGATGGGCAGGCTGTTTGGCATGCGCCTGCCAAGTGTTGCGCATGGCTGCCGCTGCTGCTCCCAGCGGCGCTCACATGGAGTTGGCGCCGTGGTGACAAAGAACTGCATGGCACACACGCGCAGAGGCACGGCACGGCAGGGTCAGACGAGGTGCGCCGCGGCCAGCAGCCGGTTGGGCCTGGGCTCCACACCTGCCCCGCCGCCACCACCACCGACACACGTGCATGTATGCACACACGTGCGCACGTGCCCAGCCCACCTGGCTGCCGTTTGTGTTGGGCCCCGCATTGGCCATAGACAGCACCCCCGCCCCCGTGTGCTTCAGCTCGCGCAGGATCTCGTCCTCGAACTTTCCACCCTGCGGGGAAGAAAGCACGGCGGGTCAAGCATACGGCCGCACGCAGCAGAGGCGGCAGCTTGGCAAGGACAAGAGGGCAGCAGCGGCAGCAATGTCGGCCAGCCGGCTGCCAGCACAGCAGGCGGCCGGCGGTGCCCTGCTGCTGCCGGCGGGCGGCCGCACGCACATAGATGGAGCTGCCGCCGCGCCCGGTGCCAGTGGGGTCTCCACCCTGCAGAACGCAGCCCCAACCAAACGATTATGTGCCTTAAATGGTATGAGGCAGTCGGGGGTAGGCAGCCAGGCAAGCACCCTGTCTAAAGCAAAGCAGCAGGCCGCAGTTACATCTCGCGGTGATGTTCCTGCCAGCCCCCTTCCCACAGCAAGCAGCAGGGGACACCGCCAGCGGCAGGTGGGCCCGCCCCCTTACTCACTTGTATCATGAAGGACTTGATGATGCGATGGAACTGCAGGCAGGGGAGGCAGGGCACGCAGAGGCACATCAATTCGACACAGTATACACACGTCATCCCAACAGCAAGACATGAACACGAGCTGCAGGCGATGTCAAGGACGATGGCTCATGCTGCAGCAGCGTGCATGCACCAGCAATGCATGCGCCCCCAGCTGCAGGCAAGGGTCGCCGGGCTCGAGGGCGCCGCCGCAGTCTCACCACGGTGCCGTCGTAGTATCCTTTCCTCGCCAGCTCCAGAAAGTTTTTGCAGGTCTTGGGCGCGTGCTTCGGGTACAGCTGCGCCCAGCAGCAGCGGCGGCAGGCCAAAGGGGCGCTCAGGCAGGCGAGCAGGGAAGCCAGGGTGGGTGTGAGGCGCGGCGGCGGGCAGGGAGGCGGCGGCAGCGGGGCCGCCTGCTGCCGCCTGCGCGCGCAGCCGCGACTTCTGCACCTTCCCGGCAGCGTTCTCCATCCCATGGAGGTGCGCCAGGGGTGCCAGCAGCTGCTGTGGCGCTCACCTCGACCTGAAACGTGCCCATCGAGGTCTTTATTTCCACGCGGGGAGCCTCCATGGCGGCCTGCTCCTTGCTACAATCGACTAGCGAAAGGAGGGGCTGAAGGGAGTGCCTGGGCGTGGTGATGAGGGCTTAGGGGTGTGGACGACGCCGCTCGAAGGCCGCAGCTGTGCTGATCGAGCTGGGCGAGGCGTGCAATCAAATATGAAACAAAGCCGAAGCTCGCCGCTCCTGCTGTGCCCCTGCTATGCTGCCATCTGTGTGCTGGGGCGTCTAGACCCCCAGGCCGGCCTGCCACCAATCTCCGACTTCGGCAACCTCGCTGGATTGACAGCCGCGCCGCGCTAGCCCGTTGATTGCCCAGTGGACCCCTGCTGCAGAGCGCCCAGGGGCTTAGCAGCGCTGGCGGCGCGCTGAACATGCCCGGGACCCTCCCCCAGCCGCAAATTGACGAGGCAGGCGCTTGCATGGTCGCCCAACAGGCGAAGAATGACGGCTGAGCCTCACCTGGAACCCCCTGACCACGCTAACAACAAGCGCAAGGCCGGGTCGCCGCCAGAGGGCGAGGACGGGCGGCAGCAGAAGCGGGGAGCCTCGGCGCCGCCCGATGCCGCCGCGCTCGAGGAGCGGCGGTGGGAGCTCGCCGAGGTGTATGCTGCTTATGATGCGCTCTACCGCGCCTATCAGCAGCAGCGAGCGGAGGAGGATGGGGGAGTGGGCGGCAGCAGCAGCGCGGTGCCGCCCCTAGAAGCCTCCTTCCTGCGCCTGCTGCAGGCGGGGCAGGGTGAGCCGCCGCCCCTCTCCCGCCTCCTCTTGTTTCCGGCCTCTGCCCCTTGCTTGCGTGCCTGCTGACAAATTCGTGCCGCGTCTAGCATCCTGCGCCCTGATCCACCGCGTCTGCATCGACTTGAGGCCCCTCCTCCTGCTGCGCCCTCTCCTGCAGCCGGCTCCGACGGCTGCCGCCGCCTGGCCGCCCGCCTTGTGCCCCGCTTCGCCCGCCACTTCCCGCAGCACTGCACAGCCTCGGCCGAGGCGCTGATTGGCCTGGCCCACCTCAGCCTGGAAGGTGGGTGCTGCCTGGAGGCGTTACGAGCGAGCGTACTGCGTACAGGCAGCTGCTTCCCCCCCTGGGTGCCATGCTTGGAGCGCCGCCTGCACAGCCCGGCGCACCCAGCACACCGCTTGCCAACCACGCCCCCGCGCCCGCCCTCTGCTGCCGCCGCAGAGCCCCAGGAGCTGGCGGCGGCGCGCAGCGCTGCGATGGCCGGGCTGGCAGAGGCAGCGGAGGCGGCCAGGGCTGCGGGGGCGGCAGGCCAGCAGGCCACCATCAAGCTTGTTGACTTCTGCTTCAAGTGAGGCTCTGCAGGGGCGGGCCTCTGGGCCGCTGCTGGGCAGCGCGCAGCCGAGGTGCCGGCAGCGATGATGCCGGCATGCCCCTCCATTGCTGCCGCCCACCCTGCCGCCTCTCTGTGTGCGCGCAGGCAGCTGCGCCACGCGCCCGGCGCCGGCGGCGCGGCGCCGGCGACCGCCAACGGCGAGCTCCCAAACGGCAGCGCCGGCGCCTGCAGCCCCGGCGGCGCCGCGGCCCTTGGCAGCTGCGGGCTGGAGGAGGCGCTCTGGCCGTGCCTGGACCTCTGCTTTGCCAGCCACTTCAGGTGCAACCCTCTTCCGAGGACCCACGCCTGCTCCTGCTTGCTCCTGCTGCCTCCCGCCGGCGCCGCTGCTGGCGCCGCGCCCCCGCCACCGCCCGCGCCGGGGTGCCGAGCCGCATGCCCCTGCGTCGCCGCTTGCTGCCTGGATCGGGGCTGCCGCAAGGGGCACCCTGCCGCCGCCATGCGACTTCCCCGCGCCTTCTCCCTATCCAACACTGTCCCGCGGCACGTGCTTGGGTCCCCGCCGCCGCGCCCTGTCTGCAGGGTGGTGCTGGCAGCGCTGCTGCACGCCCTTAAAGACCCTGCAGAGCCGTTTTATGCCGTAGCCCGCCGCTTCCTGATCCAGCGGCTGCTGGCCGCGCCGCTGCCCGCGGCGCCGGCCGCCGCCGCCGAACCCGGCAGCAGCGGCAGCGGCAGCGGCGGCGAAGACATGGAGATCGACGGCGGCGGCGGCGGCGGCCAGGCGACGGCGGCGGGTGCGGTGGTCGCGGGGCAGCCGCTGGCGGCGCGGGTGCTGGGTGGGCTGCAGACCAAGGAACAAGGCTGGGTGCGGGCGCATGTCGAGAAGTGGTCCACAGGTGTGGCGCATGTGCTGCCTGCGGGTGCTGGGAGCCTGCATGACTGGGAGATGCTCTGGTCTGGTTTTAGCAGCAGACCAGAACAGCGCTGCTTGCTGAGCAGAGCCGGTCTGCTGCAAGCGGTCGTGGTGCCCTTTGGAGTCGCAGTCGCCGCGTGTCCTGCCACGCTGCGCTGCCGCCGCTGCTGCTGCTGCTGACTCTTCTCCGCCCCTTTGCCGTGCTGGTGATGAGGTGCAGAGGTGGACCCGGCGAGCAGCGCAGAGGCTGTCGCCCTCCTGGAGCAGCTGCTGCAGCACCTGCCAGCCGCCAAGGCTGGCCAGCCCGCCGGCTGGCTGTCGGCGTCGGCGCTGCCGGCGCCCGCACGGGGCGCGGGCGGCGCGGAGCAGCAGCCAGCGCAGCAACAGCAGCAGCAGCAGCAGCAGCAGCAGCGGACGCCGCAGGCCGCGGTGGGCCAGACACCCGCCTCGCGGCAGCGGCAGCAGCAGCAGCAGTCTCGCAGCGACAGGGAGGGGCGGGAGCGGGGCTCGCCTCGCTCTCGGTCCCCAGAATCGACGCTGCAGCCCTCGCTCTCGCTGCGGCGCTCAGGAGGCAGCAGGGGAGGGCCCCCGCCCGGCAGCGCGCGCAGCCGGCAGCGCGACGGCAGCCCCAGCCCCGCGCCGCGCCGCCGCACGCCCAGCCCGTGGCGCACGCAGCAGCGGCAGCGCAGCGGCAGCCCCTGGCGGACGCAGCGGCAGCGCAGCAGCAGCCCCTGGCGGCGCTGGTCCCCTGCAGCGGAGAGAGACCAGCAGCCGCCGAGGCGCGGCGGCGGCGCGGGGTGAGCCGCCGCACCCGCGTCCCTGGCTTTGCCGCCGCTCGTCCGCTTGCTCTCTGCCGCTGCTGCCTCCTGCTGCATGCCAGGCTATGCTGCGCAGCATGCCAACCACCTGCCTGCCTCACACGCCGGCTCTGCCCGCCCTCCTGTCCTCGCCGCCTGGCCGCAGGCGCGGCGTCGGCGTCGGCGGCTCTCCTCTTCGGCGCAGCAGGCAAAGCATGGAGTCGCTTGGGCCAGACAACGGGGACGTTGCGGGCAGCCCCGCACGCTCGCTGCCACGCATGCCGCCAGGCGCGCCGCCCTGCCTCCCCGCCGCTGCCGCCGCCTCCCTCCCGGACCTGCTGCCGCCGCCGCTGCGCCTACCGCGTGCACGGCACCCTTGCGCCGGCCGCACCTTGGCATTAGTGGCTTGCTGCTGCCCGCTGACCCTGCACCCAGCCTGCCCTCCACCACCTCCACCCACCCCCGCCCCCACCCTGTCCCTCTGGCGCAGGCTTCCCGCAGCCGGCGGGCTCGCCCTGCCTGGCCGCAGCCTGCCTGCTGTTCTGCGGGCTGCCGCGGGACTTAGAGGAGCGGGACCTCCGGGCCGAGTGCGCCAAGCACGCCAAGGTGAGGGCGGTACCGTTGCGTACCGCTGTGCTGGGGCGCTCAGCGGCCGACAGGAACCGTTGCCGGGGGGTGGAGCAAGGGCCGCCTCTTTCGGCCCCTGTTTTTGTGTGTGCATGGAGCTGCGTCCGGCAATGCTGCTGCCGCCGACGCCGCTGGGCCGCCTCTGTGGCATCATCTGCTTCTCGCCCTGCCCTGCCGCAGGTGGAGTGTGCGGTGCGCCCCCCGGGCCTGCAGGGCTGCGCCTTTGTCACCTTCAAGTCTGTGAGGTGAGGCGCGGTGGGGTGGCGCCCATTCGTCCATCTGGGCGCTGGGCCAGCAGGAAGGCTCTGGGGTGCTCGGCAGCGGGAGTGGTGGATCCCCAGCCGTGAACCTGCCCTTTGGGGGTGGCTGGCCTCTGGGCAGCGCGACGGTGGCGTGGTGCTCAGCAGCGCGGGTGGGTGTGGCGGCGGCAGCGCTGGGGTGGGCCCCTGCGGCGGAGGAGGAGGCGGGTGGAAGACGGTTCTTTCGTTGCCTCACCATGCGCGGCCCAGCTTGGGCAGGTGGCACGCTGCGGCCCTTTACTGACACATACCTCCCCTCCTCTCCTGCCCCCGGCAGGGACGCCAGCCGCTGCTACGAGGCGATGTGCGAGGCGCTGCCGTGGCGCGACCGCGGCGCCCCGCTGCAGCTCTCGTTTGTGCACACAGCCGTGTACCCGCCGCAGGCGCCGCCCAGGCCTCAGGTGTGCCGGCTAGCGGCATGGGCAGGGCCTGTGGCCGGCTGCGGCACAACTGGCGGGGCGCGGGCGGGGCTCCCCGGCTGCCGCTGCGCCCCTCCCTATCCCTCCGCTGCCCCACGCACAGCACGCCGCCACACGCCACACGCGAACACCGCCACCGCCGTCGCCGCCGCCGCCGCTGAGTGCGCCCGTCTACGCGCTTCCGCCGCTGCCTGCAGCTGCCGCCCAACCACGTGTGGATCGCGGGGGTGGGCAGTGCCGCAGACGAGGCCGAGGTGCTGCGGTGCTGCAAGGAGGGCGCCATCCCGCCGCCGGAACACCTTCTCAAGGTAGCTGTATACTACCGCCGCCGCCGCCGCCGCTGCATGGTGTGCATGCAGGAGACGGCACTCTGCAGCAGCTGTTGCTGCTGCCGCTGCTGCGCCTTGCGTCTGTAGCTGGCTCTGCCGCTGCTGCCGCTGCCGCTGCGCCGTGCATCTGCCCCTGATGCCGCCGCCGCTGCACGCCAGCCGCCGCTGCACGCCAGCCGTTGCGCCGCTCGGTGAGGAGGATGTGTCGACGGGCGGACCGAATGCGCGCTGATAACGCGCCTGACGAGTGTCGACTGTTTTTCGGCAAGGCCCGGCGCGCCGCGAGGCGGCGCCGGGCTGCGCCCTGAGAGCAGCTGCGCTGCGCTGTGCACACGCACCCACGCACGCCGCCCTGCACGCCTACACCCTGCAGCCCATTGTGTTTAGGCTTTCGCTGCATGCACATACTCGCATGCTTTGCTTGCCTTGCCTGCCTGCCAACGCCCGAGCCGACGCCCCTGGCTGCCCGCGCGCGTGCCCTCGTCACCCGCCGCCGCCGCTGCTCCCCGCCTGCAGGTGCCCGCCCGCCGCCCCGGCCTGCTGCTCGTGTTCCGGGACGGCGGTGTGGCAGAGGCGGCGGCCGCCGCCATCCGCGCCGGCCGGCCGCGCATCCTGGGACCTCCCGGCCGAGCAGGCGCCGACAGCGGCAGCCCCGCGCCCCGCGGCGGGCCGCCGCGAGGCGCGAGCCGGGAGCTCGGCGGCCGGGACGGCGAGCGGGACGGCGGCAGGGCTGGTGGGCGGGAGCGGTGGGAGCGAGGGGTGGAGGCCAATGGTCGGGAGCGGGACGGCGGCGGCGGCGGCGGCGGCGGCAGCGCGCCAGGCGTGCAGCTGCCTCCGGCAGAGTATGCAGGGCGCACGCTGTGGGTCGGCCAGGTGTGTGCGTGGTGGTGGCGGCGGTGGCGGCGGGGGTGGTGGTGGTGGTTGCGGCGGCAGTGATGCGTCGGCGGCGGGATGGGGTCTGCCCTTCTGCTGCTCTGGACCGCTGCACGCCAGGCAGCAGGCGGCACAGCCGTCTGCCATCTCGCCGGCTGCTGCGGAGGGCGGCTGCCTGCCGCGCCTGCCGCCTCTGCCGCGCCGCCGGAGGGTCCGCCGGAGCGGCGCCAGCCTCCCCTGGCCAAGCAGCCGGCGTGACCCCCCCACGCAGACACACACTCTCCGCTTCTCTCCCTTCTTTCCTCCACACCTCCACGCCTCCCTGCCTCCCCGCAGATCCCGCCTGGCGCCCGGGAGGAGGCGGTGGTGGAGCTGTTCCGCGCGTGCGGGGAGCTGGCCGGGCACAAGTTCCTTCGCCACACCGCCTGCATGTTTGTAGACTATGCCACCCAGGCGGGGGCCACCGAGGTGAGGAGGGAGGAAAGCGCGGGAGGAAAGGGCGGGGAAGAAAGCGTCGGGAAGAACGAAGAACGCGCGCGGCAAGGCCAGGAGGATGGGGGGCGCGGCGGGCGGCGGCGCGGTGCATGCGGCTCGCGCGCGCGGTTGTGGAAATGTGGAAATGTGGGAACATAGAGGCATGGCTTGTAGACGAGCCGTGGGGACACCGCATGCCCCGCCTTGCCCCGCAGGCCCGCAAGCGCCTGGATGGGCACCGCATGGCGGGCGGCTGCCTGCGTGTGGAGTTCAAGAATGAAAACCAGTTCTGGGGGTCAGGTGAGGCCGCCCGAGAGGCGGTATGTGTGTGACTGGAACAGGGAAGCTGCGTGGCAGCTGCATGGTGCAGCGAGGCCTCGGACACGCCTGTTGCAGCAGCAGCTGCTGGAGGCAGCGCTTGGTTGCGTGGGCTCTGGCCGCGGCAGCCCTCCCATCCTGGGGCGCGGAGCTGAGGCGCTATCATGGGATGCCTGCAGGACGCAACGCGGCGGGCCGGGACAGCCGCCCGCCGCCGGCGGCCGGCCGGGACGCGGCGCCCGGGCCGGCGAGCGCGGGCGGCGGCGGCGGCAGGGACAGGTGCGTGCACGCGCCGCGTGGCTGCGTGCGGCCTCCTGCGTCGCTTCTGACAGTATCTACAGTAGTACCAGCAGTACCCGGCCTGTCTCACGGGTGGCTGTGCCCTCGGGCCTCAGGGCAGCGCCTGTCTTGCAGAAGTGACTGGCTCGGCTCTGGCTTGCCTGCCCGCCTTCTTTCTGCATGCGGCAGCTGCTGACTGGCCCCTCCCTGGCACCTGCCACCCGTTGCAGGCACCAGCAGCACCCGCCGTTCCGGGAAGGCCGGCAGGCGCCCGGCGGCGGCGGCCGCCCCCGCGGCGGCAGCCCCGAGCGCTTGCCCGAGCCGCGGCTGGCGGCGCCGCCGCCGCAGGGGCGTAGCCCGGAGCGCAGCCGCTTGGGGCAGCCGCCCCATCCACAGCAGCCGCAGCGGCGGCGCAGCCGGGAGCGCAGCCCGGAGCGCGCGGGGCCGCTCGAGCGGCGGCCGGCGAGGGATCGGGAGCCCGGCAG